CTTAAGCCAGGTGGTAAAGACATTCCTGTAACTGAGGAAAATAAAAAAGAATATGTTCGTTTATACGTAAACTATCGCTTTATGCGAGGAATTGAACAACAATTCCTGGCATTACAAAAAGGATTCCATGAATTAATTCCACCTCAATTATTAAGACCTTTTGATGAAAGAGAATTAGAATTGGTCATTGGTGGTTTAGGAACTATCGATATTAATGATTGGAAGATGCATACACGATTGAAACATTGTACACCTGATACACCAGTAGTAAAATGGTTTTGGCAAATAGTGGAATCTTATGGAGAAGAAATGCGAGCTCGATTACTCCAATTTGTTACTGGAAGTTCTCGAGTTCCTTTGCAAGGTTTCAAAGCTTTACAAGGTAAATAATCGAATTAATAGTTATTTCATTTTTATAATAATACATATTTTTATAGGATCTACAGGAGCCGCTGGTCCACGATTATTTACAATTCATGCTGTTGATGCGCCAAGTGAAAATTTACCAAAAGCGCATACCTGTTTTAATAGAATAGATATTCCAGAAAGTTATCCAAGTTATCAAAAAATGCTTGATAAACTTACACAAGCAGTTGAAGAAACTTGTGGTTTCGCTGTTGAATAATAGGTAAAAACGATGATATTAATTCATTGATATAATGTATTTTTTTTATATTTTATTGAAATTGCATATTTTTATAATAGGAAATATTTGTCGACAAATTCTACTGTCGTTAAATTAAAAATAAACTTTTGAAGTACCAAGAGACTTATGTATGAGGATATGCAAAGAGCTAGTATTATAGAATGAAAATGTTAATACGTAAAATGTCAGAAATAATCTGACAATGTTTTGTACAAATGATAAAATGGCCTTGATGGTTATAATGACTTCTAAGTGATTGTCGATTGGTACATTATGTGAACACTCTTGTGATTTACACACTTCGTCCATGAAGATTTTAATGAATGGTTCCTCAGAAGTTTTGATTATATTGGTCTTTAACTATTTATTATTCAATGACTGATAGAAATGTGCAAAAATTATAATTTCATTGAGGTAAATATTGATTGGCCTAAACTTTTATTTTATTTATATTAATCGCGTTTTCTATTTTAACTTTAGAATCAATAATTTACTTATTATTTAAGACCATCATCAAAGAATTAACTTTATTATTTTCGATAAAAAATATAAAAATCATGCATGCATAAATATGTATAGAAAATGAATTCTTTCATATAATGAAAAACATTGTTCAATCAAAATATGCTCATGTTAATATTTTATCATGTTTAAACAAAAATATTAAAAAAAAATAATAAAGAAAGCAAAAAATAAAACAATTATTTAAAAATTTCATAACAAAAATCTACAATATTATCTGCAATGAATTTTAAGTCAATGGAACAATATATTTCATTTTCGAAAGCTTTCAATTTCTGTTTATCAAATATAATTACAATATGCACAGTCAATTAATTCTATATTAACAATTTTTAAAATAATAGAATTTAGTAATGAACTAAAAGTATATACTCAAATTCATGTTATTATAGTCAAATATTGATTAAAAGAGTAGTGTGTGCTGGGAATTTAGTATTTTATAATATATTATTTCAAATTAATATCATTGCAACTAAGAAAAAAATATAAAATTCGTATATACCATAAATATGCAAGTGTTTAAGATTCTATGAATAAATTTGATAAATATTTTTAATATTTAAATTCATGCTGATTTTTACATAATTAATTTTGATTAAATATCAATCACATTGATTCAAGATTATTAAACAAAATATTAAATTAATTTAATTAGAATTGAAATTAATGAAAAAAATATAATATTTTTATCAGTTGTGAAGAAGAATGATATGAATAGTCTCAGTATTAAAAATTATTATGATTGGTATATGAACACTTGCTTCGAGGAACTTTGTAATGTAATTGGCAAATTTTATTGTTGCAGCACAATTTGAATTGTGCGAAAATTATTGTTGCTTGTTTAGAAACTAATAATACCGAATGCGTTAACAATATGTAAATAGTATAATGTTTAATATAAAATTAACTCGAGCGTAAAATGTGTGAACCATATAATTGGTTTTTGCACAATAAAAACGCATCGGTTCTAACGTAGGCTAAATCGTGAATTGTGTACATTAGCTTTAATTTAAAAAAATTGAACACATATTTAAGGAAAGAGTTTATTCGATTAGTTTATGTAAAGTTAAAAGTTTTATTCGAATTGACTCTTTTTGTTATAGAAGACCATAAAATAATATCTATACTTTACTAGCTTTCAGTAAAGCATATAGAGAAAGACACTTATTTATCACAAAAACCTATTCATTTAGTCTCTAGCATTTACTTTTATTGTAAAAAATATCTAATTGCTGATAACACCAATCATTATTTTGTATTATTATTGCATTATTGTATTTTATTCTACACATAACTGTGATCAAACATATCTAGAAAAAAAAGTAGTGGGAGACACTTATGTAGTGAATTTATTTTAAATATATTTGTCTACTTGTGCTTTTTTAAACATTTATATTAAAATGTGTTTTAATAATTTTATTTAAAAAAAAAATCGTTGTATTTTATATTTAAATGTGCAAAAGTATCACCCGTTTTCGGTTTTGAAATACGGTCTGATTACTTTGCTCTTGCTTTTTGGAAAATTTTACTATTAATTTTATTAATTATCAATAAAATTGATAATAAAACAATGGTAATATATTATTTCTTTGAATAATATTGAATGATATATAATAATAATAAAGCAATTATTTTATTTAAATGATAAAAATATAACAATGATGACTATCATTTAAATATTATATAATAGACTTAATTAAATATAATACAGTATTAAAATCCATGAATAATATTGCTGATTTGAAAATATCGAATTATGCAATATTATTTATATTTTTCTCATTTTGCTAATATTATATGATGCTAATAATAAGACTTAATTCAAATTTTTAAGAAGACTTAAATTTATCTTAAGATTTAAATTTATATATAATATTTTTTAAATTAAATTATTAAGCACAATAAGAGTCTCCCACAATTCTATTTTAAACTTTTTTTTAATTTTTATCATATTTGATGGGAATAAAGGCCTTAATAGTGCCTTGATATCAATGAAAAAAAAATGACATAAATTTTATGCCCATCATATTTTGAAATAAAAAATAATATTGCATGCAATTTAAAAAAAAACAATTATTAATGGACAATTAAAATTGGAAATGAATTAAAAATGGTCATATGTAAATTTTATGAATATATGCATAGATTATTATAGAACAAAGATTTTTATAATTGAAAAAAAATAGAAAGGTCACCATTTAGAATAGAAAGGGCAAATATTGCCAAAGAAGTTTTAAATTATTCAAATCTTTAAATATTTATCACATCTTAGAAACATTTTTTAATTCATTATCTTTTGCTATTAATAACAAGAAAGCATATATATATGTGTATGTATATTGAAAATAATAAATTTTATAAATAAATGATCTATAAATCGATAATGCAATAAATAGTATCTTAAAAAATTTTCAATTATAAACATATTTTACACATTTTAATCCAAAAGGATCTACATTTAATGTGAATCAGAAAAATTATTCACACTTTTAACTACATATCGCGATGTGCAATTAAATTTTGATTATTTTTTTATGTAATTCATTAATAAAAAATGTATTCATTATGTATTCATTAATAAAAAATGCTTTTAAAGTCTTTCAACAATCTAATTATACGAAATTTAGCAGGAGACAATATTAATATATAAGGTACAAAATTTTAAAATGATTTAATACATATCATATAAAATAATTGTCACTGCGATATAAGATTTCAAATGTGAACGTAATTTTAATTAAATTCAATAATCATTAATAGTATCATGCATTACGGGTATAAATGCTCTCTTGAATTATATAAATATTAAAGTTCATAATAAAAATATATGGTGACCGGATTTCAAATTCCAAGTTAAGTACATTGTATACTGTGCTCGGCAATAATAGAATTTTATTCTATCAAATAGCAGGATATTTTGCTAATATATATCGATATTCATAAAAGAATAAATTTCCAAAGATTGAAGATAGAAATTTTGCTTTCTTCAAAAAATAAAAAAAGAAAATTTTGATAATGAGGAATCCTTTATTTATAAACATGTACACGGATCTAAAAAAATTCTGTATTAACAAGTTATGCGCGAAATTTTTAAGAAAATACGAATATGTTACACTGCAATTATTATATTATTATTATTGCTATTATAATCATTGTTATTATCATTATTGCGCAAAATCTTCGAAACACAATTGTATATATATCTTTTCCTTTTGTATTTTGGATGAAATGTATATTTTAATAAAATATCCAAAGTATGAACTTTTTTAATTTCGTCTTTATATTGTACATAACTAAAAATATATGTTTCTTTTTTTTTCTTTTTTGTCAATATGTACTTACTTTATGTTAATGTTTTCTTTTATTAAAAATTTGGAAAATTATTTTCAATTATGAAAAGATTATTTAAAAATTTGGGATATTTAATTAAATAATATTTATAAAATAAACAAAATATAGAAAATTTATTTCCTAAATAATAATTTCTTTCGATTAGATATGTAAAATATTGAATAAAAATTTGATGTTTATTAAGTTTATGTTTGTTAAGTTAATGTTTTTTAAGTTTATTAGTATTTAAAAAAATTGATATTATATTATAAATAAAAATAACAAAAATATAAATATATGAAATAAATTATGAATATTATTTATTAAATTATTTAAATCAATATAAATTTTTCTTTTTTAATATCTATTTAATATCAAAAATTATTAAATGATCTAGTGACTTTATCTAGTAACTTTATCTAGTAACATAATTTATTAAAAAATTGGTAGTATATAATATTATAATATTATAATATAGAGCGTACTTCAATTTATTTGAAATCATAATAAATCTTGGTGATTTGTGTGATGTTTGATATGTAGTACAAGAAAATTATTTTATATTTAAAATAAGTTTCTGAAAATTTGTTTTATACAATGGCTATGTTCGAAGTATTAAGAAAAGAATATAGTGTAAGAATTATAATATATATATATATATAAATTAATAATAAGTTGGAGGTTATGTGATTTATGTATTTGAGTGATATTTTCATTTGCTTTTTTTAGGATTATTTACAACAATGTTTTAAAGTATCAGATATACAGACATTTCAAAAGAAATGTACAGAACGGTGTACAAATGATAGTGATAGAAAAGCTGCTATTGATCAAGCATTAAGGGACACGCTTCTTGTAATATTATCTGAAAATGCATTGAACAATGTGCAATTACTTGAGACTTATATTACATTCTGTATTGAATTATGTAGAAAAGATTTAGCAACTGCAAGTATGCCAGTGATGCTTCTTGGAGATATATTTGATTCAATGACACTTGATAGATGTGAACAACTTTTTACTTTTGTTGAAAACAATGTAGTTGTGTGGAAAGAAGATTTGTTCTTTAGTGCTTGTAAAAATAATTTATTAAGAATGTGCAATGATTTACTTAGAAGATTATCTAGATCACAACAAACTGTATTTTGTGGAAGAATTCTTTTATTTTTAGCTAAGTTTTTTCCTTTTTCTGAAAGATCTGGTCTTAATATTGTTAGTGAATTTAACTTAGAAAATCATACAGAATTTGGTTCTGAAAAATCAGAAGGAGATGATTTAGAACAAATAACTAAAGATGATGATAAATCAGAAACTAAAGTGCCAATTGATTATAATTTATATAGAAAATTTTGGGCACTTCAAGATTTTTTTAGAAATCCTAATCAATGTTATCAGAAAATGCACTGGAAAGTATTTTCAGCAGTAAGTTTAAATTTTTATATTAGTATAATTATATTTTTTGTCATAATCTTTATATATCTTTTATATTTTTTATATATAATTTTTCAGCATGCTTCAAGTGTATTATCTGCATTTTCATCTTTTAAATTAGAAGAACAACGTAATTATCCTTCAACATGCATTAAAGTTGATTCTTCTATAGAAGGATCCCATAAAGAAACTCCTTATTTTGCAAAATATTTGACAAATCAGAAATTATTGGAGTTACAATTATCTGATTCAAATTTCAGGCGATATGTATTATTGCAATTTCTCATTCTTTTCCAATATCTTAATAGCACTGTTAAATTTAAAGCGTAAGTATCTATAATTTATACATTTTTATATATTATATTTTATTACAATTGAATTCACAATTCCTCTTGATAGAATTGCACATTTTTAAATAAATCATTAGTAAAATGACTTTGAAAGCTATAAAACGATGTTTGTTTTCCAAAGCTTCCTTGCCAGTGGCTATGAGACAAGGTCTGCTTTCCTTAAATAGTGTTTCAAGTTATCAATATCTCAGAGTCTCAATAACTTTTGTATTTTTTAAGTGAAACACACGAACTGAAGCCTGACCAAGTAGATTGGGTAAAAGCAACCACAGAGCAAGTGTATGCCTTATTGACAGAAACACCTCCTGATGGTCCTACATTTGCAGAAACTGTTAAAAATATATTAAAACGTGAAGAGCATTGGAATGCTTGGAAAAATGAAGGATGTCCAGCATTCAAAAAGCCAGCTCCAGATTCTAGCACTGATATAGAAGATTTAAGGAAACCAAAGAGACCAAAACGTAGAATTGGAGATGTTATTAGAGATGCTCAAACAGTTGGAAAATATCATATGGGAAAGTAAGTAATTATTTAAAAAAATTTATTATATTTATTATATTTTATTATATTTTATTTTTATATTAAATATGCAATTCAATTTTATTATTTGTAGCCCAGAACTTACAAAATTATGGAATTTGTGTCCCAACAATCTTGAAGCATGTAAATCCAAAGAAAGAGATTTTCTTCCATCTTTAGAAACATACTTTGAAGAAGCTATTATGCAATTAGATCCTAATGCAATGGTAGAAGATGAATACAAGTAAATATTTTTATTACATATGTATTTCATATTATTAAATTTAATTAAAAAATTACATGTTGATTTATTTTATTTATTACAGGAAAGTAAATGATGGAAATTTCGGTTGGAGAGCATTAAGATTATTGGCTAGGCGTAGTCCCCATTTTTTTGTTCATGGGAATTATCCTATTAATAAACTTCCTGAATATTTAGAAACAATGATCAAAAAAATTGCTAAAGATCGTCCAGTAAGTATAACACTATTATCTTATTATTTTTATATTATGCTGTTATATATTAATGTCTAAATTTGAAAATGAATTTTAACTTTGAAAGCAGACACAGTCAGATATAAAATTAGAAACGGAGGAGACTCCACCATCAGAAGCAAATGATCAGGAATTTAATGAAGATGTTCTTAAACAAGATAGTGAACAAGTTGAAACCGAAAATACCGATACAAAAGGACGAAAACTAACAAAAGTGACACCTGAAATGGTAGCGAGATTGTCAGAGATTTTGAAAAACGATTGGAAAAAATTAGCAACTAAATTTGGTTATACAAGTGAAGAAGTAAATAAATATTAAAATATATCTAAATATATAATATATAATATATATATATATATATATATATATATATATAAAAGTTGTAAATTATAATTATATATCTTTTTTCTAGATTTCATTTTTTCAAGGTAAACCAACGCCATATGAGCAGTGTAAAAATATGCTGGAAATTTGGGCGGAAGAAGACGTTGACGCGTCGATGGAAAATTTAGCATATATCTTAGAAGGTTTAAAATTTACAGAAGCATTAGCTATTTTAAAATCTTAATTATCTTTTAAAAATATAATTTATAAAAAAAAACAAAAATGTACAGTATGAATGTATGAATGAAACTTTTACAGTTTTTTCTAAATTTTTTTATAAATCCTAATATTAATTTTTAATATCACGAAATTAGTACGTTCAGTTGTATATGGGAAATACAATGGAGTGATGAAATATATATTAAAAAAAAAATTTATATAAAATAATAAAATGTATATTTAATATGAATTTATTTTCAAATTATTGCTTCATTTATGTTGTAATAATTTATGAATCTTCAAAGAAATTGTTTGAGATGACATATGATTTCTAGCTTCAATATAAATATAAATATGTCAAAAACAATATCATATTGCGCACATATATAAACTTTTTTCTTTATTTTAGTATATGGAATCCATATATGCTGTATTTTCCATATACAAATGAATATTCTACATACTTTAATTTTCAATTAATATTAAATAAAAATTATTAATAAAAAATGCATAAAAATTATACTTACTTTTATACCATTGTGTTGTAATCATTTTAGCAATTATGAATAATTTCTTAGGATTTGAACAATATATATTTAGTTTGACAGAATAATGAAATTGTAAAAATTAAGATTTACATGATTAAGATTACAATGAAATAATTATATGTTTATATTTAATATATTAAAAAAAGTAAATATTCCATATATATCTGTTCTTCCTTTGAAATAATTCATATATATTTTAAGAAATAAGAAATAATTTTACTGATCTGAACGTAGCACAATTAGATCAATCTATTTTCAAATTCATTAGAGTATCGAAAATCGAATATAATATCGAAAGTCGAATGTAATATCGAAATCAAAATTCAAATCGAAGTCATATTGAAATCGAATTCGATTCAAGACTCCATTAAATGTACTTTCTGTTTTTTATTTTAGAAAGACAATAATAAAGTGTACAAATAATACAAAATTTCGAACTAAAACGGTCGTCGGTGCAAACTATATCGAAAGATAATTGGTTTTACATCAGTACGTCAAGATCTACATTACGGCATCGAGAAAATTTTCTTTCTTTATTTTCCGATATGAAATTCGCCAACAAGCATGCTGACAACCTAAAGGTATAGACCGACGTTTTCTCTATCTAATCGTAATAAATTAGTTTAACATTAGTAATATATCGTATCTTCGAATTATAGACACTGACTTAGACTCGATTTATGCTCGATGTAAAAGCAGAGGCCAACAACGATTAAGACAGCGATAGCTTGTGAATGGTAATGTGTTTCATTTTGAACAAGAACTATACGTAAGTTATAAAATATTGCTACATATATACCGAGTAATTTTCGAAGCATAATTTATAATTATTCACAATTCAATTTCTAAATAATTCTTTTGCTGCATATACATATGTTACGTCTATGGATCTGCAGCTTCATACATTCATGCAATTATGTATATAATATTATCGCATCAAACGTGTCTGCCACAAATTATACACAGAGCATAAATCCGGATTCCAGATGCAAAAAACTTAATAATCTTTTACGGAATCCTTTTTTCCTTTTATCAACTTGTTTCTTATATCTAACATACACACTCATATGTATTGGCTAAAGTGTAAATGCAATTCGATTGCGGATATGAACTCCGACATTTTTTATTAGGTCGTAAGATAATCATTAGTTTATCTTCTTTCTTTTTGCCTCATTTTTTTTTCTTTTAATACCTTAAAGGTAAATTGTGATTCGGATGAATATCTTGATCACGCTTCGAAGAATCTCCTCTCTGTAGCAATGATATAAGTACTGGACGTTTATTGTGATGTAGGGAACTCCTAATAGCGTCGAGTTTTTATTTGACGCTTGATAATGATGATGGATTAAGAGTATAGGCGAAGTAATTGATATGAAACACTGATTAACGATGTCTAAACGATCAGTCTTATTTCTTAAAGAGAGAACGGAAATTCGTTTAAAGCGTTGGTTAATGACTTGATAAAGATATCTTGTGAATTACAAGTAAATTTTATGATTAGAAATGAGATGGTATGTTACATTGCATTTAGTAAACTATGTTTGAATGCTTGTTTTATGTTTCTTTCTTTTTTTTTCCATTGTTTTTCGCTAGTTAATCAAACAGGAACAATATATGATTTACTCATCTCAATTTCTATTTATACAATGATATTGTTATCAAATAGTTTATGTTAAAAGATAGAAAAAGAAGAAAGAAGAAAAAGAAGAGGAAGAAGTAGAAGAAGAAGAAGAAGAAGAAGAAGAAGAAGAAGAAGAAGATGATGATGACGAAGAAGAGAGAAAAGGAATAAAAGATTAGGAAGGAAGTGGTATAAAAGTTAGTCTTCCATGAGAGAATCCAAGTATTCCTTGTAATCGTTTTCCGACATCTCGTCCTCGTCCTCCACAATTTCGGCGTTTCTTCTCCTCCTTGTGGTCTCGCTGGTTACTTCTATACAGAGTAGCGCGAACTTGTTGTCACACGAATAACGAACTTGTTCCAAGAGGCGTCCTCCTGTTAACGGTGATCCTAATCCATAACGATCCGAACTACTTGAATGCCAAGCGTCGCAATACGTGTCCATTGCTCGGTCTCCTAATTTATGTGATCCGTGCCATGCCACTTTTTCTGGCCTGAAATGTTAGAAAATGATAATTATAGTAAATTTGATAGAGTTATAACGTTACAATATAATTTTAATCGAATCGTTTAGATAAAAATTTGTTTTAACAATATAATGTCTTCTTTCTTTTTTGAAGTGATTTTCTATTAATCTTTATTTTTATCCGTTCTTTAATTTCTTGAAAGATCATAATTGTTATAAATTATTAACATTTTTTAATTGAAAAATAATTGCTTTATTTAAAAAAAATTATGTTAGATGTAAATCTTCTAAAAAAAATTTAAAATTTTTTCTTCTATTGATGTTATTTCTATCTTATTTACCATGCAAAATCAGTGAGGATATTTTTCCCATTAAAACTATAGATTCTTGGGTTTTGTGAGAAATAGGCCCCGTTTCCGTTGAACATTTCCTTCCATGAGTTGAAGAGAACGTCCCCCTGACGAATCAAGAAGTGATTTGTAATACATATGATACGTTCACAGAAAATTATTTGAAAGAATTTTTTACAAATAAATTTTATATCAGAATTGATGTATTTTAGATGGTAAATTACCTTTATGTTAACGATAGGCAAATCTCGATCTCCAAGCCTCACGATGCTGTCAACATTTTGAACTCTAGAACTGAGGAATGCGCGGAATGTACCCCTCAAACCAGCTCGCTTCGCTTGTCGATAACAAGCGTAGTCAGCTCCTCGTACACCGTGCATGTCCCCGGTAAAGGGTTCGTTCAAAGCAGCCATTCGTAACTGAAAATTGTAATATCAATGTGATATTCCTGTATTTATTGTTAGTGTTAGGAATATAAAAATTTTTTACCTCGGAAATGAAATGAAATGAAACATTTTGAATGAAGCATTTTTAACAACAAAAATTAAAAGAAAAAATATGAGAAAATTAATCGTGCTGATGTCTTACCATTCGTGGATACCACTTCATAGTAGGAAGATTATTCAATCAAAATTAGATAATATATTAGTTTAATTTTTATCGATAAAAACACTCAACAGCATTAAGATATATACTCACTCCTGTTCCGTCTGCTTTTACGGGTATTTGATTGATCAGATTAGAAGCCTCAAAAGGTGGATTCATCGGGGGTGGTGATGTAGTAGGTGGTGCTGGTGTAGTTATTGGTAAAAGTGAGCCCAACTATGCAACATAGTATAAATATTTTGAATTGGAAGGATACTACTAAATAACTGAACACTAGATTAAGGATAAGATCAAGGAATTCAGATTATCAGAATATTAATGATGATAGAAAGAAATTTTATTTAACAAAATATATATTTTAAATTAATAATCGAATATTTTAATTTATAATCTATTTAAATTAGAAATACCAGGCATAGATATATATTAATTCAGTGTCATAATTTAAATTTGAAAATTTGAATTTAAGGATATTTAAATTTAAAATGAAAAAGAATAAATTTAAAGAAACATTCTTTTGTATTTTATTTAGAATTTATATAATTTTTTCGGATAGTATATAAAAATTTTATAATGCAATATAGAAAAATTTTATACTAACTGCAATGTATTGCCAGCCATTATTCACTCTAACGAGTAGTGCTTGTTCGTCTATAATGTAAGCTAATGTTCCAACTGGGCTCACGGCAGACATCTAAAAATATAACAAGATTAAAGCATTTATATATTATTCGAAATTATACAAAATGAATTTTTAAGTAGAGTTGATTTACTTTCGTCATAGCTTCGGTATTTTGAAAAGTTACTGCTCCTGGTACAATCTTTGTTGTGCTTTCGAGAGGACCTCTGGTTGCAGTTGTTCCAGCACCTTATAAAAATTTTATAGACAATTAGAAGACAGTTTTAGAGATGCATTAAATTTTATTACATAATTTTTTGAATTTAGAATACACGAAGAAAAATAATGTGTCTTTTAGGATTTTTTTTATGATATTTAAAAACTAGCATGTATTACCTAAATGTTCTTTTAGTTCCTTCAATTGTTTTAATTCCCGCAGTGCTTTCAATTCGTCTAGACTAGTTCTTGGTCCTTGCAGCGTAGGATATGGAACGTGTTTTTTTTTAACACTTTGAACTAACAAGATATTGTATTTTTAAAATTTATATTAAACTTTGAAATTATAAATTTATGTTTTTCTCTATATTTTTAACAATATCTTTGATTAAATCATAAGCATCGAATCATTAATACAATAGATATTCAAAAAATATGTTAAACGAACAACATTGTAGGTAAATTTTTGCTTTATATTCGTATAACGATGATTAAAATAGATTTCTATTAGTTCTGATATTATTTTATCACGCCTAATAATATTTTCTTACCTTGTCTAACTCCATAATAATCTCTTTCACCAAAGATGTGACTTCTGCCGATTCCTGGCTCTCCTTTTTGTCCGATTAAAGATAATCCGGGTGGACCTGGTGGTCCAGGAGGTCCTGGAGGTCCCGGGACTGGAATATAGTTTCCTTGAGATGGTGGTCCAGGTGGTCCTGGAGGTCCTGGCGGTCCTCTTTGACCTTCCCTTCCTGGTTGTCCTGGAATTCCAGGAAAACCATCGTCTCCTTTATCACCCTTTACCTGGAAATTATTTAAAATTTGAGAAATTTAAAATATTACTCCTAGATGAGTATCGAGAGCAAAGAAAAATAAATTAAAAAAAATATTTCCAATAAATTTAAACGAAGAAAAAATATTGAATAGTAATTTTTTTGATTCGTGATACGTTTGAAATATAAATTAATTTCCGTGAAGAAACATCATGAACTCTTCGCACTCTTAAAAAAAAAAAAGGCACTTGAACTAGTTTCACCAAATGCAAATCGGCATAAATCTCGGTACGTGTTTTCATCGATGCGAAGCCATTCGAGAGCGCAATAAAAGCGTCGAGTTTGCCTTACGTTGGCTCAGCTTTTAAACCAAAGTGTTGTGAATTAAGCCCTGCCACGAGCATTCGCTCGTGCTCGTCGGTTGTCACTTGTCGGCGACGAAATTTCGACGAATTTCTGTTTGGGACGCCGAATAAATCGAGTTCGCGGCTTCGCTAGCCGACAAAGATGAAAAAGAGTAGGATTGAGGAGGAAAAAGAAAAAAGAAATGGATAAAAATAGAAGGAACGAGCGTCAAGCGCACACTTGCATTAATTTCCGTCACTCTGCGCTTTCTATGGTTTGTTCAATGAGACTTGCGGGTATACACGGTGATCTACGAGCACTGTTACAAGTTTCGTGAGTTTCACAAAGTGGTCGTTCCGACTAAAAAATGTTCAAGTTCGCTCGTTTGTAGCTGTAACTCGTACGAGCGTTTTGCGTTGTAACGGTGATTAAACAAGCTTGGCAAAGATCGAGTCGAATCGGCTTAAAAAAAAGACGGGAAAAAACATTTTTAAATTCATAAACTATTATATGCAAATAGAAGAAAAGAATGATTTGCAAATTTCGAAAAATTTTGTAACAGGAATCGATCCTGTAGATTTCAATCCACTACGCTACGAGATAGGATAAAAGATGCATCCATTATTTTTATTCGTTTCGCGTTGAAAATTCTCGAACAATTCTCCTTTCCCTCCCCCGCTAATCTCCTCTCTATTTCCCTATTAATTTTCATAGAATATTTTTTACTCTTAGAAGATCATATCGCACCGTTGAATCTATCGAATTATTTTTTCCAATTTCTTTTCCATCCACCAGGTGTTTCTCTTCCCTTATACAATTGCTATAGATGATTAAACGTAAACTAAGAACTCGACCTGGATGGTTGGATATTTAAAAATAGAAAAAATTAATTTTCAATATGAACTTTAAAAAATATTCAATACTACAAAATTTCGTTACGTTTTTAATCGAAACGCTATTAAACTTTCAGCAGTTTAAAATTGTTTTCCGTATATGTTTTTCGTGGTATTCGCAAAATTTCTCTGATACGATCGACAACACGAAAATTGCTTACGGATATTCGATTACACAATTTCGAAGCGCAATCTGTGAATGAATAATACTTACACCGACAGAGACTCCATAAGGGCTCGGTGTGCCCGGTTCTCCTTTTTCTCCCTTGGGCCCCGCTGGTCCAACAGGTCCAGGAAGTCCGGGAGTTCCAGGACGACCCTGTTAGAAGTAGTTACTGATATACAGAGCTTATACCTTCTTTCACTCATGAATATTCTATGTTCATTAAACCTTTAATTAATCTCGCATGCAGTTCAATCTAGCATACACTTCGCTCGATTGTTACGATTTCTTGTTTTAAGACCTGATTATTACATTGTTAATCGAAATAAATAGGTCTATAACAATCGATTAATCGATCAAGTTTCATTGATAAATCAATGCGACGAGTGTATTGCTATTATCTTTCTATTGAAGAATGTTATGTGATACTCACTTTCATGGTATTCTGTGGATGGCATTGAAAAAAGCATATTATAATTTTAGACTTTGATTATTTTATACATTAATGATTAATTAATAATTGTTTCCAGTAATAGGGAGTATATGATAATTATTATATAATTCTTTTATTGTGAGAATTGGGAGAAAAATTTCCACAGAAAGCGTGCATAATATTTTTCTTTCTAAAATATAGAAATGAAAAAATAGTTGCAGATAATTAGAATATATATATGTGTATAGAATATATATATATATATATATATGTTAGAATAATTTCTTTTTCGATATAATTATTATATCAACTTTACTGTTGAACAGTGAAACAGTCTAATCTATAATCTAAAACATCAACTATCTTTACGAAGAATTAACATCTTGAGATTATATCTGATAAAGTTTATAGATTGATACTTGTCTATTACAAGATTAAAGTAGGTGGCCAGCAATTGATCTTTGAAAGTTAGAACTGTATAGCCTCAAAGTTATAGAATCTGTCAAAAGCCACCGGTAGAACTTTATCTTAGAGCTTGCTGGCTCTACTCTTAATATTTGAGTTATCGATTATTGTTCTTCGTACGATCAAATTAATTAGAATAGTTAATTAAAAAATTCTCACGACAAAATATTGTAATTACTTATACATAGATTTTAGACTTGTTCTTCTTTTTTTCAACGAAATATATGGATAAAATACGATATATTGTACATCTTTCAGTATTATTAGATACACGATCTCTATAAAATAGTATTTTATCTTGTTCATACATCACCTCTTATCATTTTAATTATAATTCAAGAAAAATTATTTCTCCTATATACTGTCAACAACAAAGAAAAAGAAAAAAAAGTACACATTTTATTACACTGCATACAAGATTAAATAACACGCAACCATTCGTGCAAAGAAGCGATAATAAAATAATTTTACCGAAACTCCATTCTATTGACGGATAGGAAATCAAACGGAAATAGAGGGATTGATCGATAAAAAAAAAGAGAGACAGAGAGAGAGAGAGAGAGAGAGAGAGAGAGAGAGAGAAAGAGAAAGAGAAAGTGGAGGAAGTAATAAAAAGAAGTTTTCTCGTACCACCCATCCAGGCAACCCAATTTCTCCCATCGCTCCCGGCTTTCCAGGTGGGCCGACGGGTCCCGGTGGTCCAGGGCGTCCTCTTCTCCCCCTCTTCCCCTCCGCGCCCTTTTCACCCTTGATCGTGATGTAGTCTCCGGAACTCGCTATAGCGGTGGCTCCTGGCGGACCTCTCTCACCTTTTTCACCTTTTGCACCCACGATTCCCTGAACACCGGCAACTCCATCCTTGCCTGGCTCGCCTTTGTTCCCTTGCGGTCCTTGAATACCATTTACACCGGGAATTCCTGCTGGTCCAGAATCACCTTTATCTCCCTTCTCGCCTTTGGTGCCCTTGTCTCCTTTGTAACCACGCGCACCACCCTCTCCTTTGTCGCCTTTTTCCCTTAACACTAATTAATTCGTATGTAATTAATTCAGGAACGTAATTGTTCACGTTAACGTGGCTAAGATAAAAGGGAGAATTGTAATTTTGTACGACGATGCAACGATATTTGGAGAATGATATAAGGATGTTGCGTTTGTATTTTTTTTTTTTTAGTAATGATCTTTATTTTTAACAGATGGTCGATCATTTTGAATTTTTCGATCAGTATAAAAGTGGAATTTATTTTTTTTAAATCTATTTTTTCGCAGGGTTTTCCGGGATTAATTATTTAGGAAAATATCGCGCATGTTCGATTTGATGAATCTCCAAATGTCACGATCGATTAATATACAATTAAACAAAGGAATATCATTAATACTATATTATTTCGATATTTCAAAATTATCATATTTAAAAATATGTTGATTCAATTATTTCCTTGTGGAATGGACAATTGTACGATTGTAATTATGAGATAATAATTCTTACTCGATTCTCCAACGTTTACTCCTCCAGGACCGCTTAATCCAGGCAATCCTGGCGGTCCAGGCGCTCCCGGGGGGCCTGGTTTCCCTTCTGGCCCTGTGTCTCCTTTATCACCCTTTTCAGCTGGCCTTCCATTCTCACCTGGTGCACCAGGGAGACCCGGCGCTCCCGGTGCACCAGGTTCACCCTTCGATCCTTGAATTCCTCGAGCACCCTCATTCCCGTGATCTCCTTTCGCGCCTTTATGACCTGGCTCGCCTTTGTTACCTTTGGCACCAGCGATTCCCGTCTCTCCTTTTGGTCCTGGACTTCCCGGAAGGCCTGCCTCGCCTTTCTGCCCTGGCAATCCTGGCCTCATCGTGATTCCTTCCGTCTAAAAATAATTATCTTTGCTCGAGTTTTGGAAACGAATGATTTTTCTTATGTTATTCTTATATTTATTGTTTATATCATATTATTTGATATTAGAAGAAGATTTGTAATTCTTGTATACGTGGACAAGCTTTGGATCTTTTCATGTGTCAATGATAATTTTGATTCTAATTATCGAATTTACTTTGTGAATAATACTATCTTAAAATAGATAAATTTACAATGATATTCCTTTCATTATCAATTGTAGATTTAGAATTAGGAAATAAGTTTTCAAAGATATTCCTTTCAATATTAATACGCAATTTCTAAAATTTTAGAATTTCTTTCTCTTCAAATTTTACATTAACGGATATAATTTTTCGTTGAAATAGCGACGTTATCGCGTTAAAATATTCTCGAAATATACGACGTGTTTTAAAATACAAAGGGAGAAAGCTCTGGTAACGGAATTGTCGTACGAAATTCATCATAAAGTTACGCGATAAATTTCAGCCCGCCGCAGAGCGCAAGACGAGGAATGCCTGTAGCACAATCTCGAAAGAAGCTTTCGTACCAAAGTTGCTCTAAATATGGAACTATTACTCACCCTATAAATGCCTCGAGGTTTCCAACTGGGCTGCATGCGCATAATAGCCGAAATTTCTCTGTTTAATCATTGATATAAGATCGTAAACCTAAAAGCAATCGGACCGATCCGACGTGCCACCTCCACCTCGTTTGTATCGTACAATGTTGATGGACAATCGTCTCCAATGTTCAATCGAACTATTATCCTGTTCTCGATGCCTGTTTGCTTTGCAAACATCTGACCGATATCCTTTTATCGATAAGTTATGTCACGCGCGAATTATTCGATGAGGGAAGGAATTGTGCTCAAAGCACTTTGTGGTTTTGGGAAAGGAAATTTGCTTCTTGAATATATATATACACTTCTCGAAAATCTTGCGACATTTGTGGTACTTTGTCGAAAATTGAAAGAAATATGCATTTAAAATTTATATTTTGTATTAAATATTACAATTTTTGTAAGAGAATCATAAAGAAATAAGTATCTTGATACTTTTGAACAATAATGTATATGATTTTGTGTAAAGTGTCTGGTTTTAGATTACTTGTCGTTATGAAAATAGTCTGTCAAAGAAGAATTGAATAGTTATTTGATATAATTAATAAGTGATTATATCGCATATACTCTTTTAAATAATAGTATATCTAAAAGTATAATTTACTAATAAGAATTTTTTATTTCTGATAGAATATAAATATTTTGTTCTGTATAAACAAATATTTTTCCTTATGCAATAAAAATATAATATCAAATAATAATTAATTACCGTAATAATTACTCCAAATATATTTTTTTATTACAACAATTTTTTTCTGCGAAATACAAAAAAAAAAAATCTCTATCCCGTATAAGCAAATATATTTCAATTCAATATTCCAACTCGATATTCTTCCACCACGCAATCGCAAATAGAACGGTCCAACTATTCCCAACGAATTCTTAATTCGTCTATCGATAAAAAAATATTTCACCACGCAAGCATTACGCGAGCCAATATTTATATATTCGTGATTGTAACAATCGCATCCAGTCGAATATTTATCAAGCGATGAAGTCGTACGTTTTTCAAATGGCGTATCGCTGGGAATTAACCAATGCAGATGGTGAAACGAAATTTCCGATTGTGCCAAAAAAACGAGGAAAAAAAAAAAAACAACCGAGAAACGAAAAAAGAAAAAAAAGAGAACAGATATATCTATTCAGATTCCGTTTTTGAGAGTGAAAAACTTTGATCGATATCATGTTTAATTTTGTCGATGAACGTTCCAATCAATGAACACACGTTTATTCGATCGTTTACAAGTCTCAGTTTTTCGTAACCGCAAACGAATCGAACGTTTCTTTTTATTTTTTTTTTTTCCCCTCCTTCTCTCTCTTTCTCTCTTTCTTCTATCTATCTTTGCACGAAACGCCTCTGAACGCCTATTTATCAACGCCACCGATCGCTTGCTTATACGTCACGTCAAGTTTCTTAAAGCTTTTCTACCGACTGGTTTCGAACTTCCAGACTTTCTTTGCCTATTGAGAGGCACGTATTCAACCTGAGGTATCTTTCATTCCTACTCTTTTATCCGGTTGAAGTGTATACGTGGATGGAGTATATTCTAAGTAGATATGAAGCGATCAGAGGGAGTCGGGATAATTCGATGGAATAAAATTGATTGATTTTCGGATCGAAACGCGTTTAGAAGAAGTACGAAATTTCATGTAAAATCATCAGAAGTCGTATTATAAATTTATTCGATTATAATCAAACAAAAATAATCAGAACGACAAACATCTCTTCGTCCAAAATAATTGTCAATCGATCTGATAAATCAATGATAATAATAATAAAAAATTAATTTTTCGAAGATAAAATGGATACTGAATAAATTTTTGATAAGGATATTGAATATCTTTCGCAAATATTTCTGGCATATACACATAACGATTCGATCTAATAAAACTGATAGATCTCTTCCAAACGTTCGTGCGATACAATTATTCAAATTGGGAATGATGTAACACCTTCCAAGCCATGAAAATGAGTATCTGAAATATTCCTCTGGTCGCAATGTTAGGTTAGCACACTCAATTAACCTACGTGTAACACGGAACACGTCGGTGGAACGACGGCGTTTAGTATGGATGACGTTAAATTGCATCATTCTCATGATGACCTTACTGCGAACGATCAACCATTACGGACTGTTATGGACGATTATAATAAAATTATAATCAATCTCTTATGATTACAACAATGTAATTAATCGAAGGCTGTTATTTTCTTTTAAAATTATGCGATACGAAAATAATTGATTGTGAAATATTATCTAATAATATTCTCATTATGCGATCCTTCAATTTTTTCTTCCTTAAAAATAATTCTTCCTGGTATCACATTGCATTAATTTTTACTGCTTTTCTAAAGCAGCATTTAATATCCCGATGTTGGATTTAAAGAAAGTTTATAAAACAAGTAATATATATTTTTGACATTTAATTAATAGGCGAATATATATATTTTTCTATACGATGTACAAAATAAAATTTCTTTAATTCAGAAGATCTGTTTGAAAATTAATGAAAATTTTAAACATAAATGTATAACAAACATAATATATTCTTGCCGAAATTATTACGAAAATCAGATCATATACGTATAAATAAATCATTTCTCATCACTCGATAATATTCAATGACAATTCGATGACGAGAATACATAACAAGAACAGATTTCCACTTTTAGACCGACTTGACTCATCGCATTAATCGAAGTTCTACCATACAGAAAATACATGTTCTCTTCGTATCTACGTATTCTAATTTCTTTTCCTCGATGTACGTGCGCGAAATACATTTCCAACGATCTAAGAAACCAAAACTATGGAACAAGCATAATAATCCCCTCCCCCTCCTTTACATCATTCAGATGTTTCATCTTTGGTCTGGAATCGAACAATGTGTCTACACGACAATTGGCCACGACGACATTTTCGTGTAACCAACGAAATATGTGCAGTGTTCGATGGCGAACATCTTGCTAAGCAACACCCAACACCCACCAGTCACTCACCTGCCGTACCTGGCCGCCACCAGCCTAGAAATTGCTTTCTGTATTCTCAGGAGAAATCGTTGGAATACGAACCGGCACCAGTTCACGTAAGATAACACTTCGGGGTCAAAGTAAGATACTTGGCTTGTCGGAGATTCCTATTCAAGGTTGCAAAATTCTCCGTAGGGAGCAAAAAGTCGAACGGTTTTCATCCAGTTTCTTTGTTCTACACGGTCGTTCAAGCGAGCGGTTTTTAATTAATTCGAAACGATTCACGATGTTGGATTTGATGAATTTTTGGAATGACGATTTTCAAAATTAACGTGTGGATGTTAGTTTCTGTAGATGGTCTTTGATATCGAGAGAGGATGGATTTTTTTTTTAGATAGAATGAGAAGATTTTACGAGTGACTATTTTTGAAAATTTTTTTTTATCGAAGGAATAATAAGAAGTAAAATAGATTTCTTAGCGAAATATTGGATTATATTGTAATTTAAATTCATAAAAGTAAATATTATATAGAATTATATCTATTATATATTATTATAATTCTGTAATAATAATTTTATTAAAATATAAAAACTTTCTTCTTTTGACATATAATCGACGAGCCTCATCAAATTTTAATCAATCCGTCAAATTGAAAAACAAAATTCATTAAAAACAAAAAACATTGAAAACGATTCATCTACCATCTCTTATAATTTTCCATTCTTAATTTCGTTCAATTCGACATCCAAGTTGTAATTCCAAAACTTAAGAAGAAATCAATTTCCAATAATATTTCTATTCTATTATTAAAAAAAATCATTAACTGTGCCATATTATTGCAAGAAATTTAATATTCCCGATTTCAGAATTAATTTCGTAGCCCCGATCCCTTAAAATTTATTTCGCGTTAATATCACAATGGCGAGATAGGATAGACATCTCTGGTTTACGATTTTGCAACATGTGTTCCCGAGGAAAATACGTGACATCTTTTTGAAAAATCTCACGCAGAATACCGCACACGAAAGTATTATTCACACAGAGCTTTCTTGCATCGAGGAGAATCTTTTACCAACGCGCGACGCTGTAAGAATACCACGGGTACAAGTAGAGGGTGCAATAGGGGTTGCAGGATCTCAATATCTCTTTCTCGAAACTTTTCTCGCGACTAAAATATTCTTCAGGCCACGTTGTTTCCACGTTCGCTTGTGTTAGTGTTGCGTGTTTTATAGATGGAGCTTAAAATATTATGAATATTTTATTCTCCTCTATGGCGTGCTTCAAGATCGATCAAATTTTAATCTTGTTACTTGTTTGGATGTTTTTGACAAGTGAAAATTGCTTCTTTCCTTTATCTTTATCGTTTCTTTGATTGGAGAAATTTAATTTTCTAATAAGATAGATCATATTAAATAGAATGGAATTTTTATTTTAATATTTTATTTTAATTTTGAGAGAAAGATTATTCGATGTAATAAAAAGTTTCTCGAAAATATATTTAATTGAAAGGATAATAAGTTACTTATAGATTTCCATTTCATGTTTCCAAGAATAAAATTTAAGATAGGAACATAGAATCAATTTTATTATCTATAATTTTCTTTGTATAATTTATGTTTCAAGAGAATTTTTTATATATTTTGTTTATAATTAATAAGAGAGATTAAGAAAAGTTGACTATAGATAAATTTAAATATAAATTTTTTAGAGAAAAGATTCTTTGATTAAAATATTATTTATTGAAAAAGTATATGTATTAACTATATATTTGATAATCCTATTAATTAACGAAAAAAAAAACAAGATATTTTACATAAAATAGGAAATTCATTTTCAAAAACATTTAGAAACGTGCAATTTTTAATTATTTTTTTCAAATAAACAAAAAATCTCGTATTATATTATACAAGGAAACATTTTTAGTTTCAAGAGTATCCTGTCTAATGTAAATTTTAGATACTTTTATTTTTTATTCATAAATATACACTGAAACAAGATGAATTTGTACGTGAAGAGAATTATATAGGGAAGTTTGTAGGATTCTATTAAAATTCACGTAATTAAATGCAGTAAATTTAAGAATTATCTACCGTATATGACGCAGCCGAAATTATGCACAGTTCAACTTTCGTAAGCATAATTCATGGACGACCATGATAAATTCTCCTTCATAGTTCTTATTTTTACCATGTTGCTATTAACCGAAACGTGCAATAGTTATATTATTACTGCAATAAATTTACACACCGTATACATCTGCGCGAAATTATTCGAATTTACGAAAAAAAAATAAATAAAATCGATAACATTTCTTGTCGTGACAGATGTATTACAATTCATTTCCTATATTTCACTTATTTAAAATTCATCGAAAATGTTATCAAGCAATATTTAACATTTCCTTGTATATGTATACATAGATTGATTTTAAATTTATATTAATGTGATCGTTTATTTTAATCTTGAGCTTATTTCTTTCGATATTTTAAAAATTGTATATACGTATATTAAACGAGATACAATTTTTAATAAAATTTTAGAAGATTTTAAAAGATTTATACTCGTAATTCATAACTAAGCGAAAAATAATTTTCAATTTAATAAAATAAATACAATTTTAGGAAAAATTTCTAATAATTTCCAAAGAAATTTCGAAAAAATATTTAATAAATTTTAAAATTCTATAGAAATAAAATATTTCTAATTATTCACAATTTAAAATTCATTTCGTCTCATCAATAAAAAAAAAAGAGGAACGAAAAGAGGAAATTATCATATAATATATTAATATTAAACTCATGAACTCTATTATTTCTCAAGATTTATTTTTATATATACGTATCCAACGGTTGATTCGCGAAAAAATCATACATTTCATTCAGTTTGTTTCTTTCTCGTTCCACTCTTGCCGATGGCACACTTCCAAATGTTACGCCGCGAAACGAGCGACCTGATCTCGGCTGCTAATTGTTGAAACGTCGGAAAGAGCTTTGTTCGTTTCCAAGTACGTTAAAAGCACGGAAAAGTACGGAAAATCGTGCCACTTCCGCCACCGACTATGATTGCAGGTATCGTGATAATAATTTCATTGGATCGTTATCATTCTAGAGAATTCCATCCCTTTGAATTGCTAGATGTATATATGTTTGTTTGTACAAAAAAATAATGTTTTTCTTGATTCGTATTTCGTTTTCTTTTTTTTTTTTTTTTTACATTTTGTACGTGATTTTAATCGTTTGATAGGTTCATAAAAATATAAAATCGTAGAAGCATCCATCCAGTTGTACTAATCAAAAATTCAATTCATATATTCAACTTATAAAAATTATTATTTCTAAAAATATTGTAAAAAATTTGAATATATATTCGAGTTACATACATGTCTCTTCTATCACATATTCAAAGCATACCTCTATTCGAACATCCTCTCATGCTATTCCATCGCAATCCCCGTTTCGCTATTATTCAAATCTCATCTCTATTCCGCCCTACCATTCCCTCGAAAATTGTCGCGATTAGTTAACAGATTAAAATCTGTTTATCACGAAGGGAACTTTCCATGCTCTCGATCACGGAGTCGGAATAAATAATACAGCCTTTTCCGCGAGGCAACAATGCGAAACAAACAAAGCTGGGTAATAAAGGAAGTTTGTAGAAATTTCATAGGGGATGTGTAACAAAGCAACGTTTTCAGAGAGACGTTTTTCAAATGCACGTCATATTACGCTCATGGAATACGACACTTTACGGACTATTCATTTTTCAAAAAGAAGCATCAACTTTCTACGTTTCTTCACTTATTTAATTTCTTTCTACACTTCGAAACACAGTGGTCGCAGAAAAGATATTTGCATATATCCTCCTGTTGGAAAATTCAATTGATAAAAAAAAATCACGACAATCAAACAACAGCTAATACAAATTTGCAATATATTTTATGAAACAACACGATTTTCGATAAATTTGCACAGAAGAAGATTTTGAATGAAATTTATATATTATTTTTACATTGAATCATCTATTAAATACAGAAGCGTTCTTTTATTATTGATATTTCGTTTAATGCATGTATTTATGTAAAACGCGCAAAACATATAACAACAGTAAAACTACATACTTTCACGAAAATTAGTATTTAAACAAGTTATAAGAAATACAATTGCATGCAAATATTTTCTGCAGCCACCGCAGGTCATCCGACGCCGCACGTTCACCGATGCATTGCGGTGCACGAGAAACGTTAGCTCGCGGATATACGAGTAGCGGTTTCTTCTTGGGATTTTCCAGTCTTTTTTTTTTTTTTTCGCTCGACCGTGGAACAGAGGGAAGAGGACGACGAGAGAAAAGGATGTGGGTGAGGCGGTGGTTAGTTGCCTGAGAAGAAGGGAGGAGGGGCGGGTAAGAAGGGGTGGCGAAAGAATGGAAGAACCGAAGGAAGGAAAGAAGGTGGACACAGGGGGTTCCGCCTTTATTACGTGCACGGTTACTTATTCCCCGTGGGCTGATATCGCGTTCTACGTATTTCCATTCAACGAATTTCTTGCCCCTTCTTGCTTGGAACAACTGGGAACAGTTGCGACCGAGTGTCGTCGTAAAAACGTGCAACTTCTCCCAAGTAATGTGCACACGGGACGACTTGTCTCGTTGCATGTAGAGAGACATTAGTTTCTCATACAGTTTCTCTGTATCGTTGTATGCAAAAATGGGAATTTTCAAACGTTAAACTTGCCTACGTACGTTCGAAAGGTTTTAGATTGGGTTGTGTTTCTTGTAAATATTTGGACAATTGGTATATATTTTGGAATAGAAATAAATGGATATTCTGCTATTTTAGTGTATTAATTTTTATCATATAATATTTTGAACATATTATTATAAATACTTTAATTATGGAGTTGTATATGTACGTACTATTCATAGATTGTTTAAAAGTTGGAAAAAATTATATAAATTATATATATTGATTTAATATTTTATGTGATAAAGAAAATATAAGACCTTGATATGTTAATAATTTTACCAACAAATGCAATTTAGCAGATAATAAGGTTTCATTGGAATCCGATACTATTAAGTATGCAAGTAGTACGTACATATAATATGTCAGACATACGTGAAATATTATTTTAAGTTCATTGGTACATGATATCGCACTCTATTTGTCATATATATGCCACTTTCCTTGAATAATTTGAATAAATCTGATTTAATGGAGTTCCTCATAGAAATTTGTAGAGAAAAATTATGCATTTTGAAGGAATTTCACGAACGTGAAATAGATTCTATTTCTATTGAATCTATTTAAATATATTTAAGAGAAGTTATATTAATTGTTAGTTAGAGTAAGAGAAATCACATTTTCGAATAGAATATAGGTTAAATGTGATTTCGATCGATAGATGCAAATGTTGTAAACCAACTCGAAAAGCATTATATAAAAGTTTTCTATATTTTTAAAATTATTACTAATAATTCTAAAATTTCACTAATATATATATTAGTAAAATATTATCATATGCACGTAATTTAAAAACGAGTAGTAAAGGCAAAGTATTCAAGAATTTTATCAATTTTATAGACTAATGGAGTATTCATGAACGAAACACGAGTTCTGTATACGTACGTGGGATACAATCGTGAGATGAATAAAGAGAGACGCGATTCACGGTTGGAAATTTTCCTAGCATCTTGCGAGAACAACGGAGAAATTAATGGCACAAAGCTGTGTATTGTTTATTTTGTTTGCTTAATATTCCCGTTTGCTTGGGAATGGCTCTCAGTCCATGATATACGGGGAATCGGACTAGTTTATATTGGACTCGAACGCGCACGCGTTTATGGCTGGAATAGATTCAACTTAGGGATGTAAATTCAGTTATCGTGAGGGAACGCGTTGGAACGATAATTGAAAGGGTTTATGATGGACAGGATGAATCTCTGATAGAGTGTTCTTCGAGCGTAATGAGTTAAATGTATTTGGCATCGAGAATTTGTATATAGTTCAATTGAATTTTTGATAATTTTGCGAAATTGTATTGACGAAAAAAATATAAAACTAGTAACATTACAATAATAATGAATAAAAATCTAACATTCTTTTTTTTTTTTATTTTTCAAGATATATTAAATATTTTAAATACTACACACTTTTTACTTTTTAATAAGTCACAAGTTAGAAAATAATATATCGTTCTTAATGAATATCGAATTATTCATTCCAAAATTGGGAAAGAGGTATCGTTACTTACATCGTATCCGGAGAATTCTCCTTTTCCTGGGGGGCCTGGAGGTCCTTGAGCGCCCTTTTCTCCTGGTATTCCATCGCGGCCAGGTTCGCCTTTTTGGCCTTGAGGACCTTCCGGTCCCGATATTCCCACGTCACCTTTATCTCCCTTGGGCCCCTGTGGCCCTTCTAATCCTCTCTCTCCTGGTGGCCCAGCAACACCCTGCACAATTATTCGTTTGCATGAATTATTATTATTTCATCAGAATCACTCCTTTAATTAATTATTAATAAATTCCAAGAAAAACGACATCTTCGCTCGAGGATTTATATTCCGCTTATGTAAAATCAATATTTACATAAAATTAAAACATACGTTTGCATTAACATGGTTTAAAGGGTATTGAAGGGGATTATTTGATCTTGCAGTTTGGTCTATAGAGAAATATTCTTTATTTGACATAATGTTATTCGCTGTTGACATTATCATTATGTTATTATTATTATTATTTTTTTTTTATTATGAGGAATTTGGTTTTTACAAAGCGTCAATACCGTCAGCCCCATTTGGCCTTGTTTTCCTTCTTGCCCCGGCACCCCTTGTTCTCCTTTCGGTCCCTGGATCATCTTTGGCATCGTAAAGGATGCCATCAGGGCTGTTGCATTGCAGGTGCACGTGCCGGGTTCTCCTTTCTTCCCTGGCGGACCCTGCAGCATTTTGATCAGTCTGTCATTGCAAATATATACACTCTCTACGAAGGGTAAACTTTGTTACGTGCGGTGGTGGATTACTAACGGGTAATCGAATTACTGGGGATAACAAAACTTCCATCCTGGCATTTTGTAATTGTTCATTTACATTGTATGCATGATTTCGTGGATAATCTCAGCGATAAGCGATTTAACGTTGCGATTGCTAATGCATGTATTATAAACTAAACGTTGCCAGGAAAATGATTAAATTACAAAATTATAAATTAATGAAATTATAATGATTCAAGGTGCGTGGAAATAGCGTTTGTTCGTTGTTTTAATCTTAAATCGCAGTGTTAAATTTTTGGTATTTATTAAAAAGAATAAATGTGGAAAATTATTTCGTAATTACTTGATTTTGTTTCTCAATGATATTGACTGTAATTATTCAAACGTTACGCGAGCACCAAAAATTGATCACTGTATCGAGTCAGGGGATGAATACATCAGGCGTTAAACAAATATAATTCTATACGTATCTGTATATTGATAATTTCGAAAGATAGTGAATATTATGAAAGGGGTTCCTCTGTAATCAATGTTACATGCAGTGGTTACTAGTACTTCAACATGCTGGCTAAATTGGCTTGCTCGAGTAGGAAGATAAATGAGTGATTTCAGATTGGAATGTATTCAAGCTTGCTTCATATGCATGCTACTGAATTATTATTGCCGAAATACGTAGTTTTCGAATAATGAAAGATTTCTAGTTCAAGTTCTTCATTGCTGTTAAGTGCAGATTCTTGTATATCCAATTTTATAAAAAGACTAATTTTATAATTAATTTTTTAGAAAATTTAAAAAAAAAAAGAAATTCTAACTTTTGTAGCAATTGATGACGTAGTTATTTATTAAAAAAAGTCGAAATTTATTCATTATTCATATGGAAGAAAATTTATTTCTTTTATCTTATTCTATAAATTTCACATTTTACATGAAAAATAATTCGAAAACGAAAAAGCGAAATTTTAATAATTAAAATCGATTACAAAAATCATAGGTGATTTGAAATCTATGTGAAAAATAATTCAGTTTTTTTTTACATATTTTATATTTTAAAAAAATAACGAAAACTTGAGAACAAATAAAATTCTCATTGCAACAAATAATTTTTCCCCCACAATAAGAATCAATCACGAATTTATAAAAACTCTTTACACAACGTTTCAGCAATGAATAAAACAAGATTATCACGCATAACTAATTCCCGATGAAAAAAAGTGTCTTAAATTATGAAAATATATTCCCTTGTTACGTCCGACGAATTGCGGCATTCATAATCCACGGTAAACTGCCGTCATTACTCCATTATAAAAGATGAATACCATTTCAACAAGCCTACGGAATAACGTTAAATCGATACATACGCCGCCGTCTCCCTTAATACGTGTGCTTAATACTACTGAATTATTATTCATTTATTATAATGAAACTCCGACGAATACACGTGCTTTATAATATTTCAGACGAAGCCAAACGAGCAAAATCTCGCGCAACCAACAATAATTCCTTTTTTCCCCTTTTTCTTCTTCTTTTTTTTCTATTCTAATTTCTACCCACTTTCCTCGAACGAATATCGTTTCAACTATATAAGTCTATTTAATTCTTTTTTTTCGACATTTGACTTGAAAAGTTTTAACTTGCCCGGTATTTAGGCCACACGGTATTCATTCTTTCGTATGAAAACAATACGGTCGTAAGCGAAATGCAAACGCGCGATCCTGTAATATGCGCAATGCATTCAGGCCTGCCTTTATACGTGTATAGACTACTGAGCTATTACAGTTGGAAGTCCAGCGGTTTGTGTGTAAGGATTGCTAATGGAACATCTTTGATACTGTACGATACATACATAACCGGTATAACACATGCGATATACTAGGTGGTATATAATATAGTTCGGTGTATAATTTGCATAAATTATACGGGGACATTTATGCATTCTACGTGCTACGGTCGTACCTACATTTCTGGATACGAGTCGACTTTAAATCCTACCTTAAATTTAATTCCACGATTTTAGAATGGATGGAAATTAATGAATTAGTGTGCACAGTGTATCATAGGCGAGTTTAAAACCGCTTTGAATGTCGATGTTAATTGTTTTTTGAATTATCGAAATGTTTTAAGCCAATGTGGCTAAAATGTAACATGTGTGTACGTATAAGTTCGTTTAGAATGGTGAATATTCCACGAATATTCTTTATATGTTCATTCATGATCCTGTATTTAACAAGAGAATCAACTTATATATACATATATTATGCGTAATATTAATTTTAAGATCGACCAATTTTGTGATTGTAATCAATTTTGTAATTTATTTTATGGAAAATGTTATCGAAAATTTATCGAAAATGTTTCCTACATCTTTTCTAATTATATATTCGAATTTAGAGTTTGATAGTTTCAAGATTGCACATTCTCGTTAATTTATTATTTACCTCATCTTGACCAGGTGGACCAGGAGGACCTGGAGGTCCCCTAACGCTCTCACCCTTGTCGCCTTTATCACCTTTCTCACCTTTCGGTCCCTTGTCTAAGAAATTTAAAAAAAAAAACATGGTTACAAATCATATATCTATCATATATCTATAATATAATCTATAATATAACCATAAGTATTCTTTGTCGATCGATATATACTACCGAAACCAATGGATTTTCCTTCAATAAGAAGCCAAGAACAAAATTGATCAAAGATAATCATCGTTTAATACGAAACTCAGAGGAGTATAATATTTCTGGAATTTCGATTCATTTCATCGTGGATTCTCTCGAGGATCCTTTTTGAATATTATATCGACAAAGGATGCCCGGTAACGAAGCCTCAGTGATTAAAGAAACGCCATTTAATGGAATTTCGACGTCGCCGCCAGCAGTCAGGATATTTCTTATCTGTGATCTTATGATTAAATAAACTCGCAAATTCCTCGCGATTACTCACAGTCCGGGTTGGGAGGAGGGGGTGTGATGAATGGCGGTGGATTGCTTTCCTCGCTTCTGTCTTCGTCATCGTCTCGTCCGATCTGAAAACGGATGGTAAGAAGAAACGGTGAATAAGAACGCTAACTGTGATTTATATGTCGTTATATGGTAAAAAGGAACGAGAAAAAAATTTAAAAAAAATAAAAAAATAAAAAATAAAAAAAAAATAAAAAGAAAGGAACGAGCAGGAGACCGCTGAAAAGAAAAACAGCGTAAAAGTTTCATCGCTTATGGATGGACGTGATTGATTGCACGTTGCGCTGGGTCGATTTATTTGCGATGAAAAAGCAGAGAAATCGCTTCATTTTCACCAATTTGTTATCAAGCTCGTGGTTAATATAACGTTGCATCAAGGAAATACTTAATTAATGTATATTAGTGTATACGTAACAATGCAAAGAAATATTTTAAAAACATTCTTAAGTATTAATTAATAGAAGAAATTTATTATTAAATTTTTTCTTAATAAATTAATCAATAATCAGATCTTTTTTATTGTTCGTTATAATATTGTGTAATTTTAAATTTCTGATAATAAATATTGCGCTATTTTTTTATATAAGTATTTTATCGATAAATATTTTTCAAGCTTTAAATAGCTTGGATAATTACGGGAAAACGATTTCTAAAATAATAATACATGATTGAACAATAATATCTATCATATTCTTGTTGGAGTAGATGTAGATGTGTCCGATCATAGAGAGGTTCTTACTACTTACAGCTTCTTCTTATATATGTATGTAATTCATTGTATACTACGATATTTTTAACAATATTTTATATTGTATTTTCTTTAAGAAGAAAGAATTTTTCTTACGTAACAAATTTTTAAAAAGAAAAGTTGTACTATATTTTACACATTACATTGTATAATAAAAGACTTTTAAAAGGTTTTACATCAAGTAGAGAAAGAGAAGCTTTCAATGCTCCTTTTTTTCTTTGCTCTTTTTAAGAATCACTCTCCACTCTGGAACAAAAAACCGGCTATTTTTCATTCAGGATGATTGACTATTGGCATCAAACAGTTTTAGTTTCTATCGAATATGTCCTTTGGAGATTAATTAGAGTATTTAAAATTGAAGGATCAATTTTTCGAGTCGGAACTTTTTTTCCTCTCGAAAAATGAATGATATCGCACAGGTAGACGGTGATTAATGAACTTTCGGTTAAATCAAGCGGAACGGTTAGCACATATTTGCCCTAAGTACTTTCCAATAATTATTAGCAACGATGCAGATTTATAGAGCCAAACCACACTTTGACAGTTATTTATCGTCGATTTTCCGGCTCACATACTCTTTTTATCTCGATCTTGATTTGGTTATGTATATAATGATCCTGATATAAATATCTTTATTTAAATAATGTATATAAATTATCGAGTATTTCAAATTGTTCTAATTACGAAGTCATTAATGTCACTTATCCATATTTATTTTATATTTCCGTGCGTTGAATTTAAAAAAGGTATCAATGATTATAAAAATAATTTAATCGTAAATCAAATATCTGAGAAAATTAAATTTATCATATATAATTAATTAATAATATGAAAATTTCTTATTATAATATGAAAATATATTTGTATAAATTGAATTATTTAATAATTTAAAATAAGTCACTTAACATTTTAAAAAATCCAATCTGAAGATAACAAATCCCATCTGAAGTTAAAAATAGTAAACAAAGATTAAATTCAATTTTTCTTTTTCTAATGTCATTCTAATTCCTTTATTCCTGACAGATGTCGCCACATGTACAATTCATGAATTATTAGAATAATTTTTTTTATATATTTCTATCTTTTTGAATTGCTCATTCAAATAGTAATGTAAATTGAAGAATATCAGTTTTCACATATAAAGTATCGCGGATTTTGAATCCCCAAGGGAAATATAATGCAACAACATCGTTGCGTTTACGATCCCTAGCTTCCTTTAAGCGACGCTTTTGGACGACATGAAACTGGTTCCACGATTTTCTATAAAAATCTTTATTTGCCGCGAAAATTGCTTTTCGTCCCGTGTAAACGAACAGTGATTTCGAATCGAATATCGTTTCCTCACTAAAATTGCTAGTTATTTCGTTATTTTCGATTCGGTTTGAACATCAATAGAGATGCGCGCAATATGTTTGGGAGTATTGTGTTGTATTGTAGATGTTGTACGTTTTCTGTGAAAACGTTGTTACAGGAAGACAATGCTTCATTGTTTCGTTTAGATTAGATTTTCGTTTCGTTCTATCTACGATTAATTAAATGGTTCGACAATTTCTCTTAATCTTGATCGAGGGTTTTAATTACAAGAAGACGAAGACGAAGACGAAGACGAAGACGAAGACGAAGACGAAGACAAAGACGAAGACGAATTTAGTTTAAATGCAATTTCATTTTTATTGAATTTACTTAAATAGTCAGTTTTTATTAGAAGATAAAAAAAAATCTTTTTTACATTTTATTTATTTTTTTGAAGAAACTTGCGATGAAAATTTTCAAAAAATATTGTTCGTGGAATTAATTGTTTTATTTTTGAAAAAGTTAAATCAATTATATTGAAATTAATTTTTAAAAAAATATGGAATTGATTGAACAATTGTCATTGCTTTGTTTCTTTTTCAAAACTCTCGATCGCAATTTACTGAATTCACTATTTTTATAATATCTTGAATCTATTTATATTTTAATACATTTTCTTTATAAAATTTTCTCTTTTATTTTTTTTCCTTTATTTTCAAAAATTTCGATTATTATTTTTAACGATTCATTTTTTCGATCAATAGCGAATGGAATTATTTAATAATTAATATTTTAATCGGATCGATACATATCTAGCAAGTAAGTCACGTTCGGGACAATTTGTAATTCATGTCTTTATGTGTCTATATACAGAAAGAATAAATTTACATTTCATGTTAGTAGTACGTATAAGTAAAAGCATGCATGCAAATATTCATTTAGAGAGAATGTATTTTGTTTAGACTTTGTTTACGGATTAAATATTTTTATAGTTCAACTACATTTCGTATAAATGCGTTATGTAACAGTAATATAAAACGATTAATTGTTTGATGTATCAACAAAAAAGAATTATTAATAAATCTTAATAAAAATATATATTGAAGTTATATTTAATTTGTTAAGCTTTTTAGAAAAGCTTTTTTTAGAATTTTGGATTCTTTTTTAATAATTTTTTTCTTTTTTTCAACATATTAATCAAATGTTAATGTATTCTATCTGAGAAAAAATTAAAAAAAAAATGAATTGCTAATTAATTTACAGAATTAATTAACAAAAGATTCGATGTAGAAATAAAAAAAAAGATTCCAAATTTTTGATCCAATTATTAATATTGAATTGAATTATAATATAATTCTTTCTAATATGTTAATTTTTACTTTAAAAAAGTAAAAAATCGTTAAAAAATAGTAATATAGGAGGATAGAAAGTTAAATCTACTTTGATTTCTATCCAGTTACATTTGAAATTCACTTTCGACGCGAAAGTTATAATGAATTTTGATTAATGTGAGGTTAAAACACTGCAGCGGAAAGAAAATACTCATTTCAATGTTAGTATTATCGAATATTTATGAGTTGAATTAGAATATCAAGGATAAGAGTGAATTAATCATTCTTTCATTTATAAGAAAAATTGAATTTGAATGAAATACTTCTTTATTGTGCTATTTGCGTATTATAGACGTCTTTTCTGATTTGCCTATGTATCAGAGGCTATCTGAAATTATTTACATTAGAAGAAAAAACTTTTTCATTATTTTTTCCTTTATTAAAAAAAATTTTAAGTAATTGAGTCATATGTAACCGTAACAACCGTTACTTTGTTTCAATTTATTTCTTTTGTGGTCATTTTTATATATCAATTGATCCAAATATATCAATTGATCCTTATCAAAGTCTTTATAAAGAAATTAACTTCTATTAAAGCAATTTTTAAGGTAAAAATCTTAAAAAAATATTTTCAGAAAATTTTAAAAGAATTCTCGTCTCTTCTTCCCAAATAAATTCTCTAAATAAATCTGTAAAACAAAAAAAAAAAAAATGATCGACGAAACAATTATTGATGATCTGAAAATAACTTCAATGACGAAATCCTTATTAATTTAACACTAAATGGAATTCCCTTGTCACTTGAAAAAGTAATCCCTAAAATATTCTTTTTTATCCTCATTATCGTTTCGTTTAAGAAAAATAATTAAGCGATTCCTCTCCTAAGCGATTTCGCCAATTTATCGATTCCAAATGGAATTCTCTGGTCGCGAAATCGAAGAACAGAAATAACTTGAAAGTAGATCAAATCGATAACCATTCTTAACACAACGAGAACAATGGAACAAGTTGAATATAGAGGATACCGTTTCATCAGTGCACAAAAGGTATCGACACACAAGTGCACACAGGTGAAACTTATGGCCGATTGCAATAATACGTGGCGCGTTATGACGGGAACGACCGCAGGCTGTTCCAGTGAATTCGTTCACCCGGTATATCCTGATCAGCTCCAGCATGCACGGCTGCGTCTTTGCATCTCCGTTCCGGGAGCTTTTCTTCTGAAGTAGGATTTCACGGGTGAAATAAATTCCTCCGGCTTCCTTTTTCTCCCTCCCTCCTTTCTTCTCTTTCTTTTCTTCTTCTTCTTCTTTTTTTTTTCCTTCGATGGGTCGACGAAGATAGGAAATACGAATGAATTTTACGGACAGATCGGTTGACGCGAACGTTTTGGAGAAATTCGTGTCAAAAAGTTGAATGAACGATAATTCTTATTCTTCGTCTTCATCTAATCTCGAATATTAATTTTATCTTGGAATAGGATTGTAATAAATGTTATATTGGAGAAAGGAAATCTTGAATTGATACATTAGTCGAAATTATTTAATTTTTATTAATGTTTAATATTTTTCTAAATATGGTAATCTTGCTGTTTCTTTTATTTTATAAAAAACGGGAAAGTGGATATTATATTATATGAAATATATTTAAAATATATAAATATGAATACTTTAATGATATAGATGAGATTTAC